CTTTCTCACTTTTCCTTTCTCTCTATGATCAAGTTAAAATAAATAAATAAATAAACAATAATAACACATAAAATTAAATAAATAAATCATTCATTCTAAAAACAAAAATATTAAGCGAGCTGTGTTAAGAATGCCTACTATGCTGGAAGCCCTCAATAAAAAAAAATGTGTAGTGCTCACATTGTCTCCAACTTCTCAACTTACTATCATTGAACTTTTTCTTCTGCCATTCTATGGAAATGCCTCTCATTAAGGTCACCTCCTCATTTTCGAATAGAGTGGTCTGTGTTCATTTTTCATCCTACTTGGCCTCACTAGATGGTTCTTGACCTTCTAGAAATTCTTCTTTGACTTCTAAGACAATGCCCTGTTCTGGTTCTCCTATTTCTCTATTTCTTTTCCTTGCTCCCCTTCTAAAAGGCCCATATTTAAGTATTGGGATTCCCTAGGGTGCTGATGTCTGGCTGTATCCTTTTATCTCTATGAAATCTTCCTGGTTGACCCCATTTCTTCCCATGGCTTGGGAGCCTGGGGCAGGACCCTTCTCCCCATGGCGTTTACCCCAATCCTTTCAAATCCTAGAATAACGTAGAGAAAGCAGAGACCGTTTTAGATCACAGACACGAACGTTTTGTTGACCACGTGGTGGTCCATGGGTTTTATGAGAGAAGATTCAAAGAAACAGCCTCTCACAAAAGGCTGAAGTCCCGATGTTGTATCTTCAAACTTCTCCCAATTCTGTCATTGTAACAGCCCATAACCTGTACGAAAGGGATGAGAGGGTGGGAAAGGCTTTCATTGTTCGGCCTTTTGTCTTCTTGCAGTCCATAGTCTACGATTCCGATGAAGAGAGTGGTCTGTGATCTGTAGTTGCAATTAAGACTGTGAGCTTGGAGTGAGTGAGGCTGCCTGGGCCTGGATCCTGTCTTTACCACCGTAGTCCTTAACCCCTTCCCCACTGGACGGCTTCCTGCAGCCCCTGTGGCCAGGGGCTGCCACTCTGTGGCGCTGTGTCTCCCATTGTGTCTTGTTTGTCCCCTTGTTTGCTGCAGTCCCACCATCTGATGCTTCCTAAGAAAAGAGGACAAGTGAGAAAAAATTGGACACGTCGGTGAATACCTCTCTTTTGCTCTTGAAGTGGGGGTATTTCTTTATCGTAGTTACAGGATTTCAGGTTGAAAAGTCTATCAGAATTTTGAAGCAGTTGCTCAGCACAGTATCAACAGTAGTGTCATTGTCAAGAACTGTTTTTTTTTTGGAGAGATTTTCGCTACAGGGCGCGTGCGCTCGCCAGACAGACAGAGAGAGACATTAGAGACAGAAAGCGAGAAATCACCCCCCAGGGGAGATGGCCACGCCGCAATCCCTTCTCCTCCATTCTCCTCTCGGGATCTTGGACACGCACGCACACATGCCCGGCATGAGTTTCAAGCCACCCGGTCCAGGACACAAACCATGGTTGACTACATGGGAGTCCAGCGACATAACTATTATGCTAACTGCTGGTTTTGAATTATGCCTGCAACTGTTACCAGCTACCCTTACACTGCTGGGCTATAGAACTCTAGGATTCGTTTCACTTACCTCGTTGCACTTTTGTATCTGTTGCACACGCTCTCTCATGGTGAAGCTTTGCTACCGGGTGATCCTGAGCTATTTCTTCATATTTAGGAACCGAGTACTGGGTAGATTAAGAAGCCGCCTTGTGTGCTTGGGTGAGGCTTCTTGGCTGGCTGGCTTCCCTGAGCCATGATCACAGAGTGAACTTGACTTTCCACCAGGAGATCCCCAGACATCACTATCTAGAAGTCCTTTTACTGAGGTTTCTTCAGAAACGCATTTGCTGATGTGCTGTGGGACGATGGTGGGCGATGTGATTGGTGGCCCTGGGCTGTGGGAGCAGGCAGGATTATGCATGGTTTCTGTTCTAGGAGCAAGAAGAAGGAGCTGTTTTATGTTCTTCCCAGCTCTCCCATGAGCTGTTTGGGTTTAATTTTTCCAGGTACACCAGGATGAGGAATGGGGATGAGGTGCTGGGCTGGTTGCCTTGTTCAGTTACGCGCTTTATTCCGACCTTTCTGACTGCCCTGTCTCCTCATGCATCAAGTTTCCCCAGCAGAACTGCAGACCTGCGTGTCCATAAACACTCCTCCTGCTGTCCCACAGATTGTCCCTTCCTCTACTCTGAACGTCACTTTCCATTGTTGACTTTTCACCTTCCACAGTGTTGTTAAAAAATATCTCATTTCCGGGTCGCCAGGTGGCATGGTGGTTAAGGGCGTTGGAGTCCCACACGGCCGACTGTGGTTCAAGTCTCAGACCTGGTGGCTTGCTTTCTCATTTCCCAATACTCTGCCTCTCTCTGGTGAAATTAAATAAATAAAGTTTTTAATTTTTTTTTTTTTGGAGACTTTTTGCTATAGGGCGTGTGCACCCACCAGGAAGACAGAGAGAGACAGAGAGACAGAAGGTGAGAAATCACCCCTTGGGGAGGATGGCCATGCGCAATCCCTTCTCTTCTATTCTCCTCTCGGGATCTTGGGCACACACGCACATGCACCTGGCGTGAGTTTAATCCACCAGGGCCAGGACTCAAACCAAGGTCGACTACATGGGAGTCCAGCAACATAGCCATTACACCAACTGCTGGTCCAGTAAAGTTAAAAATAATCTTATTACCTCTTCTCTCCTCCTTTCTTCTCTGTGCACACATCTATCTATCTATCTTTCTTTCTTTCTTTCTTTCTTTTCTTTCTTTTCTTTCTTTTCTTTCTTTTCTTTCTTTTCTTTCTTTTCTTTCTTTTCTTTCTTTCTTTTCTTTCTTTTCTTTCTTTTCTTTCTT